TAAAGTTTGTTTTTGACATAACGACTTGTACATCTCATTGTTGCAATGGGTCCACCTGTATCCCTATTTAAACGATTTGTTTTTCCCCTTCCCCTTCACAAATTATACCAACATCAAATACAGTGAAAGCAGGGGTTATACTGTGGGGGGAGGGACATATAGAGCAACAAAGAAATAATCTTAAAAATGTGTTAGAAACAATTGCATGAAAGAAAAAAAAATTTGAATACATATCTTAGTGTTCATTTCCTAATATCACATTATCTGACCTTTTCTGCTTGACTCAGACATATACTAGTTATTGCAAATAAGGGACCTATATTTCTTTGGACCTGGCTTACTTCACTTAATATAATTTTTTCCACCGCTTTCCATTTCCTAACAAATAGGGCAATGTCATTCTTTCTGATGGAGGCATAGAATTCCTTTGTGTATATATACCATGTTTAGTTTTGACTGAAGTATAATTACAAGGCTCACCTTACCTATAACAAGTTAATATTTTTCAGCTCCTCCCTTTTTTTTTGATATGGGGTCTTGCTTTGTTGTCAAGCTAATCTTGAACTCTCAGGCTCAAGCGGTTTTCCTGCTTTAGCTTCCTGAGTAGCTAGGATTACATAGGTAAATGGCAGTATGCCCAGTTTAATGTGTATAATGGCTTTCTTATAAATACATTTTTTTTGTTTTTGTTTTTTTTGGGGGGGGTCCGCTTGTGGGGCCTGAACTCTGGGCCTGGACGTTGTCCCTCAGCTCTTCAGCTCAAGGAAAGCGCTGTACCACTAGAGCCACAGCGCCACTTCCGGCTTTTTTCTTTTTGCTTATGTGGTGCTGAGGAATCAAACCCAGTGCCTCATGCATGCAAGGCAAGCGCTCTACCACTGAGCCACCTTCCCAGCCCCATAAATACATTTTTTACCAAATATGTTTTCACCAGGTATAGTTTTACAGAATTTGAATAGTGTTTTCAAACTGCCCATCCTGCTTTGCTTTTGCTTGTTTTCCTCCTCCTCTAGGGCTATGGTACATTCCTCTCTTTCTGACTATCTAGGGTTCCCATCCTCATGGGCTTCCTATATGAGTACTTCCTGTCTCTGAAGTGCTTCATACTTCAAGTTTCTCCCCTGCCAGAACTCTACTTTTGCTCAAGTACCCTACTCTTTGTGAATGACAGGAAGTAGTGGTTTCTGAACCTTGCAATTTGCTAACTAGAAATTGAACCTAGTAGGAAAGCATTATTTAATTTTTTTTTCAGGAAATATTTACCTATAAATAAAACTGATTATAGTTCATCCTACCAGAGGTACCAAGTTCAGTCCAAAGCCTTGACTTGGCTGATTGTGTCCCTCCAGAAGGAAAGAATAAGTTTCTTTTTCTTTCCTTTTTTTTTTGGAGGGGGTCTGGTCGTGGGGCCTTAACTCTGGGCCTGGGCACTGTCCCTCAGCATTTCAGCTCAAGGCGAGTGCTCTACCACTTGAGCCACAGCTCCACTTCCGGCTTTTTTTTTCTGCTTATGTGGTGCTGAAGAATCAAACCCAGGGCCTCATGCATGCAAGGCAAGCACTCTACCACTGAGCCACCTTCCCAGCCCAAGAATAAATTTCTTTTTTTTTTT